GCATGGCAAGAGTTCAAGCTTTATTAGGTTATATGTGGTCTGTTTTAGAGAAAGTACCATATTCTGGTGAAAAGAATGTGTATTTTGATGTTGGGTAGATACTTAAGATCATTTCTTCAGGGTTTGGTTCAACACATATTTCTTTGTTAATTTTTTGTTGAGGTCATCTATTTGTGATAGTGGGGGAATTGAGGTTCCCCCACTATAATATTACTGATGTATATCTGATGTTTTATGTTGATTAGTGTTTGTTTTATGAAGTTGGGTACATTATGGTTTAGTACATATGTACATATATTTGTTATCTCTTACTATTGAATGGCTCCATTAACCAGTACACAATGTCCTTCTTGACTCTTGGTAAGCTTTGGCTTTAAAGACCACAGTCTTATTTATTATTATTTTTTTTTGTTGGGATATAATATCTGACACCTATGAGTTAAAGGAGGTAAGATTTATTTTAATTGACAGTTTGTAGAACTTTCAGTTTGTAATCAGCTGGCTTCAATATGTAGGGCTGCATGGCAGAGAAGCAAGGCAGAGGAGGAAAAAAGTACATGGCTTAGCAGACCTCCTTTTTATTGCATTCAGGCTACAAGCCTATTGGTTGTGCCGCTCATGCAAAGGCTGAGCCCTCTGTCCCCTAATCAATTCAGCCACATCCAGAACTATGCTAATCCAGTCAGGACTCCCCGGTCATCACAGCCATTATCCAGTATTACATACTGATGATCCATAAGCCCATAAACCCCTCTAGCAGCACAAGAGGTTTTGTGAACATTTTAGGTATAAATGACAACATCCACTTTGAGACTAGGATAGTTACTACTGCTTGTTTTTGAGTTCTCATTACAAGGAATACTGTTTTCCATCCTTTGATTTTCAGTCTGTGAATTTCTTTTTGTGTTAGATGTGTTTCTTCTATACAGTATACCGTCGGATTTTGTTTTTTGATCCATTCTGCTAATCTGTGTCTTTTGATTCATGTGGTAACTCCTTTCATACTGGTAGTTGTAATTGATAGTTGTTGACTTATTCTTCTCATTGTATTACTTACTTACTATTTTGCTTTCTTTCTCTTAATTGTTATCCCTAATTGATGCACTCATTCTCTTGTACCTTTTTGGCAGTGTTAACTTTATTGTCTCTCTCTCTAGGGCATCCTTGAGAATTTCTTGGAGTGTTTTGCCTTTTCTAATCTGGTTTGAAGCTGATCAGTATATTTTTATTTGTGATTCTATATTTTACAGTTTTAGAATCATTTTCTTAAAGTTGTCTTTTGTCCCTTAATAGTTCTCTTATGTTACTTGTCTTTCTTGAATTAATTGAAGATATTTATGATGGCTTAACGATGTTCTCTGGACTTCCACATCTCAGGTTACATTTATATTTGTCTTCTCATGCATAAAACATAGTGTAACATTCTCAACTTGTACTGAAGCATCTTTTAATTTCTTAATCTGTGTGCAAAGTCACACTTTATATCAAAAGTTTGAGATCTCTCAATTAATGTCAGAAAATCATCTCACTTTCAACTTTAAATTCTTTTTATCGAAAGACTTATGGCCTAAAAGACAAATTTTGACTGCTTGCTTTGTTAAAGTCAGATAATATCAGTCCTGTGAAACTATTCTTCAGCATTGTGCTTAGCATGCTGGAGTGGTTTTTTTTTTTTTTCTTTTTTTGGCTGTTACATATAAACTTTAGTATTGATAAAATAACTTACAAAGATTTTTAATGGATTGGATTGTGTGGTGAAGCAGTTTATTAAAACTTGGAAGATCTGCCATTTTAACTATTCAGACTGCTTATTCAATAACATGGAGTATTTTTCTTTTTTGAGGCAAGGTCTTGCTATGTAGTTCAGGCTGACCTTGAACTCACTATGTAGCCCAGGCTGGCCTCAAACTCAGCAATCCTCCTGCCTCTGCCAAAGTTGTGGGATTACAGGCATATGTCACCACACCCAGCTCATTTCTGTAACCCTGAATGCTTCTTTCACTAGAATTTTTATTGCCTCGAGATTTTCTTTTTTTTTTTTTTTTTTTTTGTCTTTTTCCTTTTTATCGGTACCGGGGATCAAACTCACGACTACCTGCTTGCAAGGCAGGCGCTTATGCCGCTGAGCTAAATCCCCAGCCCCGAGATTTTCAATATAAAATATCATGGTACCTGTTAATAGTTTTACCTCTTCTTAAACTTGGTACCTTTTTATTCCTTTCCTCTGTGTGATACTTATGTATAACTTTTAATATTATCATGTGATTTCTTGGTTAAGCTCATTGATGTGATATGTTATATTGAAGATTAAACATGGAATCACTTTGCTTATATGAAATAATGACCGTTGGTTCTGCTACAAAGGTTTGGGAATGGGACATACAAGATCAGTGTAGAATATTTTGGGCTAGAAAGCATGAAAGTGTTTTTAAAATGCAAAAGTAGCCAGACATAGTGACACATGCCTGTGATCCCAGCACTTGCGAGATTAAAACAGGAGAATCACTGGTAGTTCAAGGCTAGCCTGGGCTATATTGTGAGTTCAAGACAAACCTGAACTGTGTAGTAAGACCTTGTCTCAACTCCCTGCTCCGAAAAACGTTCCAAAACAAACATTCTGCAACACGTCAAAAGAAAGTAGTCTAAAAGATTTCTCCTAGTGTCCAGTGACCAACAAAATGTATATGATAACATTGGATTATATCCCACGGAATAAATTTTCTTTAATCAGTATTGATATAAAAAGTTAATAAGGATTGTAAAAAGAAGAGAAAGGAGGGATAAATCATCCTTTATAAAATATTCAAGATAATAAGTATAATTCCCCAGGGATCAAACTCACGACTGCCTGCTTGCAAGGCAGACACTTATGCCCAGCCCCTAGATTCACTTATAAAGTGCAAAAAGAATGGATAAAACTCAAAGGAGAAAAATATATTGCATGGCCACATGTGTATCTTTCCAGATAGTCCCAGCCTCTTTTCTCTTAATTAAAAAAATTTTTATTAAAAGAAAAAAATATATTATGGAATTTATGTGCAGATATAAAACTGTTAACAGTTGTACTAAGGGTAAGTAAATAGAAGTGTTCTGTGGAAAGGTTTTTCCTCCCCCACGATGATGCTTGAAGTTCACAACACCCAGCACAGTAGCCTATGGACAGCGTGCTCAAAGTAATTATTAAAATGTTGAGTGCCAGGGGTGGTGGCTCACGGCTGTAATCCAGCACTTGGGAAGCAGAGGCAGGAAGATCATTGAGAATTCAAGACCAGCCTGAACTACATAGGAAGACCCTGTCTATAAATAAATAAGTAAATAAAGAAAGAAAATACGTTGAGTGAGAAGCAAAATCACCAATGTTTTTCTACAAAGGTAATAATATATGCATTCTCCATTTAATGACCAGGTTTCTTTCCTTCATGTAGGTTGTTAATTGAATTGATTGCTTAAGTGAGGAGTTGTACATAGCATGTACATTACAATATTCAGAACAAAGAAATAGTCAAAGAGAACTCCAACTTGATGATTTTGCTTTTATGTGCATAACTCTTATACGTAATACTATAATGTATAACAGAACATAAAACTACAGTAGTATACAGTATAGAACAATCAGCAAAAGTTACACTACTGCGCTATAGAGGAAGCCTCAGGCCATACCACAGCTCCATGCCGTAAGTCCCCATGCAGATGCTAAGTCTGAACCACACACCTTGTTCATATATCTGAACAGTCATTAACCAGGTAGGTCACTAAATGAACAATATCTGTAATGTAATGTAAGTACTATGCTTTGGATAAATCTGCCCCAAAATACACATTAAAGGTTTGGTTTCCAGGGTGCTGCTATAAAGAATTGTGGAACACTTAAGAATTGTGGAATTGTTCCATACCTGTGGAACCAGCCTTTTAGGAGATCTTTATGTCATGGGGGAGTATGTGCTTGAGGAGAACTGTCCACCCCTCATCTCTTTTTTGCACTCTCTTGATTCCTGACCACAAGATGAACATCTGAGCTTCGTGATATGCTCCTGTCATAGTTTCTTCTCTCACTGCAGGCCCAGCAGCAGAGTCAGTTATGGGCTGTATTTTGCAAATTATGAGCCAAAATAAATCCTTTCTCTTTAAAAGTTGATTGTCTCATCTGGTGTTATGGTAAGGACAAGCTGACTAACAAAGCAAGTAACCTGAAGGATCCCATCTGGAATAAATGTTTTATGTTCATTCCAGAAACAGTTGGCAGCTAGCTCAACAAATAGATGCTTCCCTTGCCCCTTAAAGCAGTGATTTCCAGTCTTGGCTGCACACCCTGAAAGATTTTTTTTAAAACAGACTAAAACCAAGTAAAATAAAACAGAATAAAGCCAATCAAAACAAAACAGTGAAAGTGATACAGGACTTCAAAATAGGATAGTAGAAAATCAACAATTGCTACCACATGCCTCTTGTTATCTTCAAAATTGTTGTTCGTATCATCAGACATAGTAAAATCAAACAACAGAATGGAATAAAACCAATCAAAATAGAATACTGAATAAAGCAAAACGGTAAAATGGAACAAAACAGTGAGAAAGAACATATTGGATTTCAAGAACAAGATAGAAGAAAATCTCCCATAGTTGCTGTATTGCATGTTGTTATCCTCAAAATAAATGCTCAGACTACTGACTTTAGGCCTTAAAGTTGATCAGACAATACAAGCATTAAGTTATTTTTGTACCTCAGTTCGTATCAGCTCAGTCTGTGTTCTGAATAGCTGGTTGCTTACAGGGAGTAGGAGTGGAGGACTTGGCTCTTCTTGTGTCCCAGCCATGCTCCAGCTGGCTCACCAGAAAGGGCAAATTGGCCTAGAATCTTCTTAAAGTTATTAATGCCAAGAGCCATCTGTCTCCAGACATTTCAATTTCAGAGGATTTCGTCTTGGATTTCGGAAATCCCAAGTCAGTGACCAAATGGTCAGTGTGGTAATGTTATTATTTATTTGTTTACTTTTGTTTCAGGAACTGTTGACATTCAGTGATGTGGCCATTGATTTCTCCCCAGAAGAGTGGGAATGTCTGGACGCTGTTCAGCAGAATATGTATAGGGATGTGATGTTGGAGACTTACGGAAACCTGATCTCCCTGGGTAAGGATAAATTCCCTACAGAATGCCTTCTTAACCATCAATCATTAATTTGCCTCCTTTTTAGAATACCTGTAGGCAGCTTCTGCTTTGTGAGAATGGTTTCAGATTCCTGCTTTCAAAGCAGACGTGGACTTTGATACAGACAGGAAAATTTTCACATCATTCTTGTCTTTTGCTTCCATTTTATTTGAAGTATCATATATCTTTCACTTTAGATTAATAGTAGTATTAGAAATTTGAGGACATAAAATATTATTGCTATATCTTATACTCTAAATTCTCCCTTTTAGTTCTGAGTTAGTAGTAGTTGAAAATGCAGTTCAGGATATACAAATTGAAACTTGCCCACAAATTCTAGTGAGTCTGTATGCAAATATAATTTGGAGTTACAGTTTTCTAGAATGTCCCATTATGTCTTTTCTATTTTGAGTACAGTACTAGGGGAGAAATAAGAGTAGTTTGGAGAAATCTCAAAGCAAGTGTGATGTGTGGTTTTCTAATCAACAGGTTTTGCTGGCTCTACACCTAAGCTGATCACCTTTCTAGAGCACAGGAAAGAGCCATGCAGTGTACAGAAACAAGAGACACTGGATGTATGCCCAGGTAGGTGGGAATAAATGAAGCAGAGAAACCACTTGAGAACTCCAAAAGTAATCTGGGTTTTAAAATGTTTATTCCAGAAGCACTGTTCCAATAGAAATGATTTTTCAGAAGCAGAGAGTACATTTGCTGTCATAGGAAGACATCTCCAGCCCATATTCATGATCTCTCAGGACATTCATAATGACAGCCCAAGTCTTTCCCTTCAGCCATGAGCTTCATGATCTGAGTAGCTTTTTTTTTTTTTTTTTTAATTGGTACCGGGGATCGCATTCACAACCGCCTGCTTGCAAGGCAGGTGCTTATACCGCTGAGCTAAATCCCTAGCCCCTGATCTGAGTAGCTTTTTATTGCTTTTGGTTTCTCAAAAAATTTGCACATTTAAAACGCTTCCATGTTAATACATCGTACTATACTAATGACATCATAAAGAAATTTCTGTGATATCATATACATACTTATTAAATAGTGAATATTGTTGTATCTTATGAATGATTATAGTTCATATTCTTTAATTTTACCATGATACAGTGACTTAGAGATTCAAAATATCTACTTCTCATGGATGTATGATAATAGCTGAAAACTAGTTATCAAGAATGATTTTTAGAATTGTATATCAAATTTTATTCAGGATTTTATTAAGTATTCTTTCTTGTTTTGCAATTGCATTCTCTTGGTTTTTGTTTTCTTTTTGTTTTGCTTTGCTTTGTGTTTTTTTTTTTTTTTTTTTTTTTTTTGAGACATTTTGCTATGTAGTTGACATAGTCTTTAAACTCACTATGTAGCCCAGGCTGGCCTCGAACTCAAAACAGTCTTCGTACTTTAGCCTCCCAAGTGCTGGGATTACAAGCATTGCACTACCACACTCAGCATGCAGTTCTGTTTTCTATATTTCATTTCTTAGATTCTTTCACATCAGTTAATAATCTTTTCTTTCTTTCTTTCCTTCTTTTTCTTCTTTTTTTTTTTTTTTTTTTTTTGGTACCAAGGATCGAATTCTTGACCTTGTGCTTGCCGGGCAGGCACTTAGGCCATTGAGCTAAATCCCTGGCCCAGTGTTTTCATTTTTTAACCTTTGTGTTTTATCATATATAGAAAGAGTGAATGACAGTTTCATCTTTATGTAACATTAGTCTTTGTTTCTTGGGACAGTTTTTCCTTTGATGTGTATTTTGTGTGATATTATTAGGGCCACTCTTTTTTCTTATCTGGTCAGTTTTGCGTGAAAAATCATAGCTGTCCTTTCAACTTCAGCCTTTTTATGTCTTTAAGTGTTAATTGAATAGTCCTATAGATATTATAGGACATTTGGGTTTTTTTAGTTTTTTTTCATTATCCAATTTATTCTTATTAAGGTGTTTAATCCATTTATATTAAAGAAATTACTGGAAATAAATTAATATTACTCTTTTCTTAATTGCTTTCTGAATTTTTTAGAATTTTTTTCGACTAGGTTCATTGCTTTAATTTATCTCATTTTAGTGTCATACTTTAATTTGTTTCCATATCCTTTTGATGCATTTATTGTTATCACTGTGGGGTTTTTTGGGGTTTTTTTTTGTCTTTTTCATTTTTATCGGTACCAGGGATTGAACTCACGACTGCCTGCTTGCAAGGCAGGCGCTTATGCCGCTGAGCTAAATCCCCAGCCCCATACTGTGGGGATTTTATGGAAGCATGTTAAACATGCAACCAGTTTATTTTAAACTGGTAAGAAATTAAACTTTATCCATCTAATAACTTGTCTTTGCATCATCCCTCAAGGTGACATTACTGGTATCAAAGTTTTTTATGTTACATATCTGTTAACAGATCTGTTAGCCCCAGTTAAATCTCCAAGATATTTATGATAATTTTTATGCTTTTGGTTTTCAAACTACATAGCAAACATGTTTTACACACATTTATTACAGTACTATAGAATTCTATGTGTATGTTTCTTTGTTTCAGAAAGCTTTAAAATTAGTTACATTTTGCATTGTTAAGCATCATTGTTGATGGGGCTGGGGATTTAGCTCAGTGCAGTTTCTTTCCCTTTCATGGTTTCTATTGTAGATTTTGGATCTTAATTATGCTTTCAGTTTTTTACACTAAAAAGACAATACAGTATTTACACATGTGAGTATGATTTATTTCACTCATGACTATGGTCTCTAATTGCATCCATTTATCTGTAAAGGTCTCGAGCTTACTCTTCTTTATAGCTGAGTAGTATTCCATTTTTTAAAAAGTACCACCTTTTTTATCCACTTCTCAGTTGATGAGCATTTGAGTTGTTTCCAAGATTTAGTGATTACAAATTGTGCTGCTATAAACATGGGTGCACATATATCACTGTGATATGATGTTTTTAGTCTTCGGGAAAATACCCAGCTGAGTCAATGGGACTTTTAATCCTAGTTGTTGTTTTTTAAATTTTTAAAAAATTTTCTTTCATTTTAAAGAGAAAAAAATCCAGAAAAACCAATAAGCAAACAAACCAGAAAACAAAAACAGAAAAAAAAAATCCCAAAACAACAACATTAAAACCAAATCAAGGAGCAGGGATTTAGCTCAGTGGTGTAAGCATCTGCCTGGCAAGTGAAAGGTTGTGAGTTCGATCCCTGGTACCAAAAAAAAAAAAAAAGCAAATCAACAATAGCAACAACAAAAAACAGAAGTGATATAAGTTGTCAAAAGAAGATAAGAATTTTTTTTTTTATTTTGAAAGTATACAACAGAACAAGTCAGAATAAAGCCAACTAAGATCGTACAATGAAATTGGTACAGAACTTCACAACAGGTTACCGGGATAACAGTAATAGGTATCACAGTATATTTTGTTATCTTTATAATAGTTGTTCTTTCAATCCTGTATATCAAAATGAGATGAAATATAGAACACTATAGAACTTATCAAAACAGAATACTGAATAGAGCAGTACCATTAATCAGAAAAGAGCAAAACAGTAATAAAAATATTTGCCTTCAAAGAAATGGTAGAAGGAAGTCCCCCTTATTTGCTATAGTCAACCTCCCAGGAGATGCTCAGATTTCTGGTTCCCATTTGCTAATGAGCGGACAGGAGAAGGAGGGTTGGGGAAGTGGGATGTTTGACTCTAGGTCGTGCACCAGAAGATTCACTATTGCTTAGCAGGGAGGCAGGCTGGTTGCTTGGTTTCCCAGCTTCATAAGTTCCAACATGGTGTGGATCTCAGAAGTCACTGGTGGTTCTCCCCCTGGAGGGGCCGTAGTCTGTCACACCACAGCCACTTACCAGGGAGATGAGCTGCTTGCTAATAGTTGCTCAAGTTAATTTTAGTTTTTTGAGGAAGTTGAGCTTTTTGAATTTGGATCTTTTTCTTTCTTCATAATTGCCTGTTTCTCAGCCATTATTTTTTACTGACTTGCTCAGCTGCACAGTCCTTTTTTCTCTTTATAGTTTTTTTTTCTTCGTAGGTATTCTTATTTTCCAAGTTTCATTTAGTTTTCTTTGTTCTTTAGCTCATGAAGCATTTTTCAAATGATTATTTTGAATTCTTCATGTAATTCACAAATCTTTTCCTCAGTGTCTTTTTCTGTTTTTTCATTCATTGATTAGATTGTACTTCTCTGCTTCCTTGTTCATGCTGTGTTATGTTAGAGAGTTAGCCATCTAGAAACCAACTTGCAGTGGGTTAGTATAGTCATTACTGCAAAAGGCATGAAAGTTGCTAAAATATATGGAAAGTAACACTGGGTGTTACTCAGTTTTAGTGAATATTTAGTGTGTATTTGCTTAGTATAAATGAGGCTTTGTGTTTGATCTCCAGTATCCCTAAACGAAGCATAATGTCAATAATCTATGTAGTCAATAATAATAGAATTAACAGTAGTTGTATCATTATTTCAAAGTAGTTAGTATGTGATATAAAGCATTAACATTCTTTCAAAAAAAGAAAACAATAATAATCTTTTCAAAGAACTGAGATAAACTATTAATATAAATGAAACAAAGTAGCATATATTGTGCTTCCCCAAAAATAAGATCTAGCTTAAAATTAATCAGGCTTGAAAACTAGAGATAAAAAAATACCAGCCCAAATCAACCTTTTTGTTTTGTATTGCTTTTTTGTGCTGAGGCTTGAAAATTCTTTGGTCCAGCATCCATTTTACAGAAGGAGCCACAGTGTTGCTTACCGACACCCTTCCCCACCGCCCCCCGCAATCCAGGTATCGACATAGAGAGAATTGCAGGCTGCTGCAGTGTTACCTTTATGGTAGTAAATTCAACAACAGCAATGGCATAAATGTCAACTGGATATTGGCAAACTCTAGGAACTACTCATGAACAGCCTTTTACCGAAACAAAGGAGCTCTGATTTTAGTGAAGGCAGTTAGGCCCCCTTACATTGACCTACAGTGATTCAGAGCACTGACGTCTGCTGGATGTTGGCAGCAGTGTCAGACTGCAAACATATCATTAGACTATATGTCTTCTTCAGAACCACACCCTCTGACCATTACTGTCACCAAATCTGGCCTCCACACAACAGAACTAAGAAACCATCATCTTTTTAGTCTGCGACCAGGCCTCCCAGAGCTACTCAGGAGATCCCCATTAATATCTCCCTCTCTAAGCCCATCTCCCAAGGCTTTCTCTCACCTTGTCTCTGTAGCAGGGTATCCCTTAATTCCTGAAGCAATAGTCTCCTGGGGACTGGCTTCATATTTGATCTGCTCAGTTCTGTTGGTTAGCACCTCTGTTGCCTTCACTGTGGAGAAGTCAGGGATTGCAGGCACACCGTTCTGGGTCTTCCTGACACCGGCAGCTGAAGGAGAGGCATGTGTTCCCTTTTTCCTCATGGGTCCGGCTGGAACAGTACTCTGTGGTGTGATGGTTACACGATTTTATTCATATGTGGAATCTAAAAAAAAGTTGATCTCATGTATAAAGTAAAAGGGTGTTTACTAGGGTCCATGGTTGTTTGGGGAAAAATTATGTGGATATTAGCCATAGTCTACAAATTTTTAGTTAGCTAAGTCATAAGAAGTTTAAGAGATAGTATAAAACATAGGAAGTATATTTTTTGAGAAATGCCAAGAGAATAGTGTTACTAGCACAAAAGTTATTGTGTTTAGTAATCTTTGTTTTTATTTTTTTTATTTTTTGGTACCAAGGATCAAACTTACAATCTTGCACTTGCCACGCAAGGCCTTTGCCACTAAGCTAAATCCCTGGCCCCCATAATGTTTGTTTTTAATTAGCTAGATTTAGACAGTTCATTATCCATACACTTCAAAACATTATGATTAACATGGTAAATATAAATGATTTACCTAATAAAATACTAATTCATAAAAATACAAAGATCATTTTTTTCATCTGTGGATTGGCAACTTTCAGGAAATACAGCAGCCATTGCGCTAAGAACTGTTGGAGACTCAAATCAATTTTCATACATGTGTCTTCTAGGATTTGATTTGTGTTTTTCCAGTTAAAAAGGTAATAAGACCTCATTTTCTATTTTAGAGCTATTGACTTGTGCCTGGCACTGCCATCTTTTGTTACTATAATAAACACCTTTTGTTTCAGCCGTCCTGAGCTGTTCATCCTCACATCCATGATTTCTCACACCATTAGACAGAGAGCCAGTTTCAGAATGCCCCATGAAACCAGAAATGTCTCTACGTGTTCCACTAACTTGTTTGAGTCTTGTGGGAGAAAAAAGGGATTATTCCTAATTATACTGTAGTTACCAGGAGGACATAGAGCTGTGTTAGACAAAAGTCAACTTTTCTCAGTAACTTCATTTCTACTAATATGTGACTGTCATTAGTCTAATGGTTACCTACAATACTATGTATACTTACCTGTTTTGGGGGATTTCGACAAAGGTAATTTTTCTATTATATTATTGTAAAGTCCATATATCTCTGTAGGGAAGAGAGGGCTTTGTGTTGAACATTCTTCTATCTTATTTATAACTAGTAACTATATATATGGTAACTTTTGGGTTTTCTTTTGTTTTTCAAACCTTGGATTGGGAGTAACTTGGTCTGTGAGTGTTCCACAGAATGAGCAAATGTTTCTAATAAATTTTAACTTGATAAATGAATGATGCCTTGCAATACAAGTAGTATGTCATGCTAAATGTCACATGATCACAACTGATTCTTCACTTTCTCTGTCTTGGTCTCTCACTACTTTGAATTATGAATGGAATTAATTAGTCTTGCATTCCAAAGTTTTACTGTATATTATTATATTATTAGAATATCATATATGTATTATTTATCATATATATGGTAAATAATATATAAATATATATTAATATATATATTATTTACCATACTGAATATATATATATATATATTCAGTTGAACACAGGGCCCTCACACTGAGCTATTTTTTTTTGAGAGGGTCCCACTGATTTCACAGTTGGGCTCTAGAGTTGCAGTCTATCTGTTTTAGTTTTACTGAGCCAGTGAGATTATAAGAATGCATTACCATACCCAACCTTGATATAATTTTATATATTAAACTATATTCACCAGTCTCCTATATGACATAATTTGTTTTTTATTTCTTTCAGCTATGTCTTCTCATTTTGCCCAAGGTGTTTCATCAGAACAGGGCAGAAAATATTCATTTCAAAACATGACAAAGGGAAGGCACAGTTTTTGTGGTCATGACAACTTACACTTCAAAAAAGAATGGGAAAATGTGGACAAATATGAAGATCAGAATGCATATTATAATGATTGTAACAAGTTTGTTATGACAAAAGAAAGCACAGCCTTCATTGCCAACAGAGATGAACATACAGCATTTCAGAAAAAAACTAAGTTTGTACCTGCTGCTGTTAAAGATCCATGTGTTTTTGTAAATGAGCATTCACATCAAATTTTGAAACACGCCTTTTCCCTCAAAGGAAATTCAGGAAATCTAACAATGAGACCAGCCCATGCCTCAGTACATCACTTGAAAAATATTAAATATAGCACTGGATTAAATTTTGAACCGTTGATTTTGGTAGATAATAAATTTAAAAGTGAAGAACAAATTCCTAAATATAATCAGTTTGGTTCTTTCCTGGAAAGTTTATTCTGTAATCAACAAATGCATCTTCCTAATACTAAGATAAACAATTTTCATGAATATGGAAAGTTATTTACCCATCCATTATGCCCCAATAAAAATCTAGATATAAGAATCTACAGTTGTAAAGAATGTGGTAAAGCTTTTAAAAGTTCTTCAAATCTTACTAGACATGAGAAGATTCATAATGGAGAAAAACCTTACAAATGTAATGAATGTGGGAAAGCCTTTAATAATTACGCATACCTCAGTCAGCATCAGAGGATCCATAATGGAGAAAAGCTGTATAGATGTGAAGAATGTGGCAAAGCCTTTAACTGGTTTTCACGCCTTACTCTGCATCAGAGAATTCATACTGGAGAGAAGCCATACAAATGTGAAGAATGTGGCAAAGCCTTTAACTGTCGTTCACACCTCACTCGCCATCAGAGAATTCACACTGGTGAAAAACCCTACAAATGTGAAAAATGTGGCAAATTCTTCACTCATAGTTCAAATCTTACACAACATCAGAGGATTCATACCGGAGAGAAACCTTATAAATGTAACGAATGTGGCAAAGCCTTTAACAAGCGCTCAAACCTCTCTTTACATCAGAGAGTTCATATTAGAGAGAACACATACAAATGTGAAGAATGTGGTAGAACCTTTGGTACTTGGTCTACCCTTTCTTTACACCATAGAATTCATGATGGAGAGAAACTTTACAAATGCAAAGAATGTGGGAAAGCCTTTAGCTATTCTTCTGTCCTTAGTCGACATCAGAGAATTCATACGGGAGAGAAACCTTACAAATGTAAAGAATGTGGTAAAGACTTCAGACATGATATAAGCCTCACTCGACATCATAGAATTCATAGTGGAGAGAAGCCCTACAAATGCAAGGAGTGTGGTAAATCCTTTATTCGGTGCTCACATCTCACTCAGCACAAGAGAATTCACACATGATAGAATGTTTTCAAATGCATTCAGTCGCATAAACCTTTGACTTTCCTACTGTGTTTAGTAAATATTTGAGAATTCTTAATGGAGAGAAACCATATGAATGTAATGAATGGCAGCATTTCAAATGGCTCACCTTAACAACAGAAAACTCATGCCAATGGCGAGAATACTTTCCAAGTGAGAGAACTCTTATACATGATACTGGATGAAAATTAAAGTTATAAAGGAAATTTCTCAAACTCATGAGTAATTGAAACTACAAATGTAAAGAATGTGACAAGACCTTTAATGGAAGTTCAGACCTAATTCAACATGAACCCAGGGCCATTAAACTTCAGATACTTTGGACACAACGAGAGTGTTACACTTTTAAGTTATTTATTTCTCATTTTTGAAATTACGATTTTGTAAGTGTAATAATAAGCCAGAGATGTTTGAGTCATGAATTTCAAGTTATGAAATTTTCTCAATTACTTTGCTCATATCACCTTTAGGCCTAAAATACATACAGAGATGACAATTTACACTTATGAGATACACAAACCTTAAAATCTAATTGTAATTTTTACAGATAATGGAACTAGAAATATTTATTATAGATGAGTTTGTAAGTTTCTTTTTATCTATTGATAAGTAATGGGAATTTGTGAAACAAAAGTTTATTTTAAATAAGTTAGCAAACCAGAAACCTTATATATGTGAAAACATATCCAAACTGAATTTATCCATATCAAATGTCATGGTTCCTGCTCTATACAGTCTATGCTATAAAGTTCAGGCTGGCCTGGAGCTCACTTTGTAGCCCAGGCTGGTCTTGAACTCACAATGATCTCCTCTCTCAGCATCCTGAGTGCTGGGATTACAGGAGTATGCCACCATGTCTGGCTAATGAAAGACCTTAACAGGATTAATAGATAAATGTAAAATTTTCTCTCTATGATCTGTTCAGAGATTTTAAGAACTTTTTTTATAAATGTGTTCATCATTTCTTGTTGCTATTCTCTCACCTACTTGGCCACCGCTGGGCAGACTTACCTGGGATGAATTCAAAGGTTAGAAAGGTTCAGACTAAGTTGTCTTAAGCCTGAAATTTAAAAATCCATGGGACACTTGACTTACAAACTCAGTTCATTCACAAGGGCCGGTTGTTAACTCAGTTTGGTTTTAAGTCAAGATTATTTTTCCCATAAAAAATAATGGAAGTACCCATAATGTGTTCCAAACTCCCCAAAGCACTCAACTTTTTACATAATAAAAAGGGTTGTATAATATATGTAATTTAACAGAAACACTACTAATGTTTCTCATTTATTCATCAAAAAGTTACAAATTGTGCCTGGTTTACCACAAAAAGTTTCATACTGTACTCAACATTCAAACTGACATCTTTGGCTTACAGCAAAGGAGAATGAAATGGAAGGTGGTAGTTGTTTGGAAGGAGAGTCCCCTTCCACAAGAGCGTCAGGAATCTGGCTCTCTGGGGTCCTTTTCTGTCCTTGGGAGAGTGTGAAGGCCAGTCACCTGCTTTTGGCTCACAAGGTCTCAACCTTTTCAGAACTAAAAGCTGTTCTAAGATTGTTTCTATCTGTAACACTATTCTTTTTGATTGGGACTGCTTTCTTTGCCTTCCCTTCATCTTTTCTAGCTTTTAGGGCCATTTTGATAATAATCATAATGATTATAAGTGAAGCACTGTCCGAAATCAGCCACAAACACATCTGGGCTCAGACTGACATTTACATGTGCTTTACTGGCATTGTGAGTCTTTTTTTTTTTTGGTACCAGAGATCAAACTCGCCACCTTGCGCTTGCCAGGTGAGCGCTTAACGCCGCAGAGCTAAATCCCTGGCTCTATTGTAAGACTTTGTTTACAAGCACACAAGCGACTGGCATTTGGTTCATAACTCAACCCAGTTTACTCTGTTGCCCATCATAACTTGAGGGTCCACTGTATGAGATTCTATCATTAGGATTTTGTTAAATGCAGACTTTGCACCGATTTATCATTAGTTCAGCGAAATCATTGTTTCTACAACAAAATGCACTTTCTAATGTTCTTTCTAATCAAGGGCCTTGTGGCTTCAAGTAGACTCAGAGCCTTAGAATTGAGGCACATTAGAAACTTGTAGCCCTCTTATGTCACATGAGACAGATGGATTTAGTAGCTGAGACAGGGTTTCCCTTTTTCTGCTGAGGGAATGAGAATCTACCACCACTACCCCATTGTTCTGTTTGGGTTTTTTTGGGTTTGGTTTTTGGTACCAGGAATTGAACTCATGACCTCACACTTGTCCCCGGCACCCCATATTATGGAGGAAAAATAACACCAGACTGGTCAGCAATACAAAATTTAAGTACACATATTTGTAGTTATTATATAGCCTGTGTATATGAAAATTCAGTGCAAGGTTAAGGAAACATTAACTGGTTCGTTTAAAACATGAAGTAACTTGACACTTCGGGGAACCTTAACGGAAAGGAAAGCAAGAAAATAAACTGGAGTTAATTAATATGCTTGAATCTTGCCTCTGCAATCATTATGTAGGGCACTTTGCATAAACCAGCCATTCTCATGGGCAGTGCCATACCCACTATTATATCTGCCTGTTGATCAGTATACACCTCACAGCTTTGCCCTCAGCACATATGTGTCCCAGGTGCAGAAGAGGGTGGTATAGCAACAAGTTCCATCCTGCTTTCTCCTGCCCTCTGTCCCTGAGGTGGTCATAGGAACTAGAATTTCCTTCTGTAAAGCCTCTGTAGATCCCAAGATGACTGTTCCCTCATCTCCCTTTCTCTGAAGAGCTCCTGTGACATGTCCTCCCCATGGCCAGAAGAGGAGCAGGAAAGACCACAGCAACCCTGCCTGGCTGGTACCCTGGTTCATCAGTAGTAGGTCACTTATCCTTTTCCAGGCATATTTCTCCACAACTGCTTGCTTTTATCAATTCAGCATGAAAGTACAACTTTTGCCAGGGTCAGTTGTGTAGCTCAGTGGCACAATGCCTACCTGGCATGTGAAAGTTTGCTAATACCAAAAAAATACACCCAGTTCTTTAGGTTGTTGGGCTTTTTTGTGTGTGTTTTGTTTTGAGTATCAGGGAATGAACTCATAACCTTGTACTTGTCAGGAAGTTGCTTGTGCCACTGAACTAAATTCCCCAGCCTGGGCCTTCGTTTTGAAGTTAACCCATGTGTCCTGCAACTTTGATGAAATAAATGTGATCTACTTTTGTCTCACCAATCGGTATTTTGTTGTCCAATGTCAGTTACAAGCCTGACAGTAGTTAAACTCCCCTTTGCTCACACTCCTTTCAGAGGTAGAGTATGACATCTGTCTCCTTGAGGTTAGCATCCCTCACTGTCCCTTCTCCTGAGACCCACGGGACTCAGGGAGCTGTACTCAGTGTTTGTGGCTCCCAGCCTGCATCCACTATGGGTGGTGCCAAACCCCCCCTTCACCCCGTGCACTATTCTGTCCCTGCAAAGTTACAACCCCTTGAAGAAAGGGACACCCTCTAGCCATGGTGTACTCCTGATCTGCCTCCCACAGAGGCATTTGTAGCGAACTCCTAGGTTTTATTCATCTCCAGTGATCAGCTCAACCACAGGACCAAGAAGCTCTGACCTGGACCCTCCACAGCTGTCCAAGTACCCACCCTCGGGGGATTTAACCAGTCCAGGAGCATATGAGCAGAGCCTACATGGTCCCTGAACCCTGGGTCTCTGGTTTCTTTGCTTTACTGCAGTATCCCATCTTATGTCTGTGCCAGCACCATCTGTATCGGCTCTCTTGAGCTTCTCCACACTGCAGACTTCCTTAGAAGCTAACTCACCACAAGGACCCCAGCAGCCAAACATCTGGTAACAGTGCACATAAGGCCATACACATGCTTGGAAAGGAGTAGTAGTAGCAGTACTAGGGTGATGGCCCCAAGATCATTATCTGTGAGTTGTCCAAGATTTTACATGACTGGTCAGTGTACTGCCAAGGAGATACACACACACACACACACACACACACACACAATTTGGTTGGATTGAGTGTGAGTTTAAAAATTATTTTTATCTTTCTGAGACATGCAGTTTAGGCTGGTCTTGAGCTCACTTTGTAGCTCAGATTGGTTTTGAACTTGCAGTGACCGTTCTGCCACAGCCTCTCAAGTGCTGGAATTACAGCTCTGACTGAGTTTCAATACATTTGTTTTTTACTAATACAAGTTTTAGCTTTGAGTTTTCTTATGAAAAATTGAAATTACCTAAAATTTAGCAAAGAGATGTTCTAGTTAAGAGACTGAATCTTAATGTGTTGTGCTGTCATATTTGAATCTGAAGCATCATATTTATGAACTTTTGAAAACAAAAGATATATACAAAAGTATATAATTTCAAGGTTATATATATATATGCATGCACACATAGATATCCTTTCTCTTGTTTTCATAAATTCATATATTTATGCTTGAACTGGCTGTGATTTTAGCAGAAGCCCTACAAAGTAGGAAATGCACCTTTTTCAGAGCAGGCCAAAAGTTGGTCGGTGGAACATTGCCCCCTGTGCTGATGTGATGGTCAGAAAATTCAAAAGGAACCCTAGGTGAGAATCACTGCCATAGATTGTTGACTCAGGGAATATTCCATTCTTTAGTATTAGTTAGTAGTGTTAGCTATTTCTGATATAGGAATAGATTTGGATTGGGTGCTTTTTCTTTCTTTCTTTCTTTTTTTTTTTTTTTGTCTTTTTCATTTTTTATCAGTACCTGGGATCGAACTCACAACTGCCTGCTCGCAAGGCAGGTGCTTACACCGCTGAGCTAAATCCCCAGCCCCCTTGTTTTTCTTTTAATTTTGTGCTTTTATAGATTCCCAAGTCTTAAACACCAAAAGATGACTATGGTGACAAAAACCAAAACTGCAAAAATAGTGGAAGATCATTCCAAGAGGCCTGGGCAGAGTCATTTGGGGTGACTGAATGCAATGGGAAAGCATTATGTATTGTGCGGAGAGTGTTTTATATCACACATTAACTGTCAGGTGGCACTCTGACACCAACCACAGGAGTGTTGTCAAATGTCGTGAAACTGAAAGGAAAAAGTTTCTTGAAAGGATGTTGAGGAAATGTCATTCCCATATCTTGGGGTTTTTTGGGGGGCAAGGGGACAAGGTATCACTATGTAGTTCTGAATGGACTTGAGCTCACTATGTCGCCCAAGCTGGCCTCAAACTCACGGTGAGCCTCCTGCTTTTTGAATGCTAAAGTTTCAGGTGTGCACCATTGCTCCCAGCCCTAGTAGCTTAGTTTTTGCATCTTTCTAAAACATCATCTGATGGCTGCCAAGTTTTACTGTGCATAGCAAAACATGGTAAACCCCTCTCTGATGTGGATTTTATCAGAATGGCCATGTTGTCTGAAAGTAATTCACTTTTTCATGATTTCCTTTTGGGGACCAAGGTGTGGCAGATTTTGGGGGGCCAACTGTGTGACTTAAACCCCTGCAGTCCCAAAGTTGGTATAAACTTGCTTCAGAACAGGGAGGTACACAGGCACAGGTCCCTGGCCGTGGGTAAAATGCTGATAACTCAGCTCTTCTGAAGCAAGATAGCATCTTCTGAGAATAGTTGTCAAAATACAGGCATTTGAGTTTAGAGAAAATGTGGTTCCTCATTAATCCTTATCTATGCATTTGTAAAGTTACTGTTCCATGAAATGTGTGTTAACCCCCCACCCTGTGCTTCTTGTTAGACAATAAATGTGAGCCAGCCACAGATGTAGTTGAATCATTGCACTACAGGTGAACTCTTACCAGTCTCCCTTGTACCCTGAAATTTGTCTCTTTGTCTTTCTTCCTTCCCAATCATCCCCCGCATAGATATCTGAGGGTCTGATCAGCCTTTGTTGATGTCCAAAACAAAATTTAAATCATGCAGCGTATCTCTGAGCTGTCATTTAGCAGAAATTCTCTTAAAGATTGACTACAGCACAAGGCAAGTGATGTTAGCAGCTCACCACTGTTAACCCATGTGCATGGATGAAAGCACAGATATAAATAATCATACAAGGGGGCTGGGGATTTAGCTCAGCGGCATAAGCACCTGCCTTGCAAGCAGTCAGTCGTGAGTTCGATTTCTGGTACCGATAAAAACGAAAATGACAAAAAAAAATCATGCAAGGCTAGAAGTATTTCTTTCTTGTATTGTTGGTGACATCATGAGGGAAGAGCTGGTGAAACTGGTACCTTCACCTGGAAGAACATGGGGGATCGATATCTACAATGCTGTGATAAGGCTTTTTTGTCACAAGACTGGAAAAAGTGGTTTCAATTACTAGTGATGAGGCACCTTGCATAATGGGAACAACATCTGTTATCATACAGTTTTTGTTAAGGAAGCCAAACATCCAGTCACTCATTTTCATTGTATTTTATGTCAAGAATCTTGTGCCTGAGAAAGCATCAAAAAATTAGATGATATCTTCAAAGATCTCACAAAAAATGGTGAATTACATCATGGCTCATGTTCTTAATTGTTGAATTTCAAGCACTTCTTGATGAGTGATTTTCTTTTCTCATGGCTGAGACAAAATAACTGCCATCCAAACTTAAAGGAGGGAAGGTTTATTTGGCTTAGAGTTTATAGAGGTTTCACTCCACAGTCAGCTGGTTCCAAGGCGGGGTGGGGCATCACACAGTAGAAACAGTTCATGGTAGCCAGAAGACAGCAAAAGCGGCAACGTACAAGTGACAAGCCCACCTCTGCACTTGCACGAACCTTCACTTCTCAGTTCTCTGAGGACCATTGCTGCTGCCCTGTATTTGTCCCTACTGAGGCTGTGTATGGGAAGGATGCTTCTGCCCTCTTTGCATTCTGCCTAGGCTAATGGGATTACTAAGTCAGTGGACTGATTCAGTAATCACATATCCTTAATTTCAGCATCATACACTCTAGACCCACCCACCTCTGAGAAAGCCCCCACCTCTAACTGCACGAAGCTTTGGGGGAACATCTATAGACAAGCCATAACAATGAGCTCCAGGCACAGTATAATGCTATACTTACGTACAATAATACCTGGTGGCTGAAGTAGAGGATGAGTCCTAGAGATATTTGTCATCCACTTGGATGAAATTAGGCTGTTTATGAATGGAAAAGTACAAGAATATTTATAGCTCACTGACATGGCCTGGCTTAACCACCTAATGGGTTTCTGTTTTGACTCTACACTTCAGTGTACTGAGCAAAAAATAAAAAATGAAGGGAAACGGCAGAAAGGATACTTTGTGATATCAAAACATTTGAGAAAAAAGGTTTCTTAGAGCTTTTAAAAATGAGCAGCTGAGGGGCTGGGGATTTAGCTCAGTGGCATAAGTGCCTGCCTTGCAAGCAGGCAGTCGTGAGTTCGATCCCTGGTACCAATAAAAACGAAAAAGACAAAAAAAAAAAAAAATGAGCAGCTGAAGTATTTTCCAAATCTAAAAATGCATTTAGGAAATCCTACAATGCTGGGTGTAGTGGCACAAGCC